TAAAAAAAAAAAAAAAAATTTTAATCTACTCGCATACAAATCACTCAATTTCTACGACGAAAAAGGGCGTATACAGTATATAGATTCATTCAAAAGGTTGAAAAACTGTCCAACTTTCAAGGGTAAGTTAAACAAATTCGTCTGATCTATATTGCGGCGCAATGGTACTCCACACATTTACCCTTAGTCGTTAAAAAAAAGTATTTAACATAGCTTATCTGACGTCTCATTGTATATCTTGTTATCATGAAGAATATTTAATGCTTATTTACACAGGAAGGACCCAAGTAAGACAAACATGCCAGAGCCAGTGAATCATCAAATAAACACAGCCAGAAAGACCTTCCAAGCACTTTATCGCATTTCCAAGCTGCTCAACACCAATTTAGATCCAGGGACTCTGAGCTACTGCGTCAGGCTGTGCGAGAATGGAGTCAATCCTCAGGCATTGGCTACTGTTGTGAAAGAGCTCCAAAGAGAAACTAAAGCTTTCAATAGTACCCAGAGTTATGCCAGTAAAAATATTAACTCTTAATAACAATAGCAATTTGAAAAAAACATGTACCAAAAAAATTTATATTTGTAAATAACTTATTTATTTCATGTAAAATGAAACCAAATGAATAAATACTGCTCATAGCAAAGTGGGTAAAGGGCTTGCCCAGAGTGTAAGAGGACGGGTGTACAAATCGTATTGAAATCTTTTTTTTTTTTTCCAGAAATTAGTTAAAAGAAAAAAAAATAGTAAAATTCAAAATGTGTGGTGTGGTATGGTACGATGATGTTGTGTAGTGTGGTGCGATGATGTTGGATGGTGGGTGGTGTAGAGGGACCGGAAGTACGTTAAGAGGGGCGGGGCGAAGGGGGAGAATCAAGCAAAATCCACTTCCGTTACACTTTTTTTTCAAAGTCACCAGTCTGAAATCGTTGATTTACTCCATAGGGCAGAACGCGCCTATAGAAGTATAACTTTAAAAAGAAAAATTGTTTATACAGGTATTGCGTCAATTTTACCACCTAAAGGATGACTACTCATCGTACTTTTTAGCTGCAATTGGAAATAAGTATTATAGAAGGTGTACTTTTAGACAAAGCTTGTGATAAAAAGTATTGAAAGAAGCAGATGTAATAATTTCGGATAAAGCTAGTATGATTCTCAAAAAAGCTTCAGATATAGTAAACAACACTTTGAAAGATTTATGTAACTGTGAAAACCCATTCAGAGAAAAACTAATAATATAAGGTGGTACCCACCTGAAAAAGAAAGACGGAATTCCATGTGTGATTACTTCTGTAATACCTTCAGGAAAGTCATGTGGCATTACATATGGTTTTACGTATGGCATTACATAAGGGGTTTTAGCTTGGTAATGCCATATGTAAAACCATGTGTAATGCCATATGGCTGTCCTAAAAGTATTACAGAAGTAATTCTACATAGAATTCCGACATTTTTTTTCAGGTGGGTAATTTTCTTCAAATCTTACGAAAAATAAAAAACAGTTATAGATCATTGTTAGGTGTGAGGGTGAGAGTCGATGCTTACGCACACATAAGAGCGAACGCGAAAGAGTATGTGTGTGCAGGTCTGTGTTTGTATGGCGTAGAAGTGTGAACATATAGGTCGCGAGTGTAAGGCTGCAAGCATGTAAGGCGAGCAATAGCGAGTTAGTCCGTATAAGGTAACTGCCAACTAGCGCACACTTTTAATTAGGAGCATTAAATAAGCACAGTGAACTGTGCGAATGACTTGCATCCAGCAAAAAAAAAAAAATACCAAAAATTGCGGAATCGTTTGCAGGTTTTGCAATTGCCATGCAAAAAATTGTCAGAGTATTATTTTTTTGTAAAAAAAATAAAATGTAGTACGTCCTGCGAGAATCTAATAAAACTATTATTTCGCCTCAACGGTAGAGTTTCTACTATTAAAATTATCACCAGTCGTTTGCAATTTAATTGCCAGTGCGTGTGAGGATCGCAAAATAGTCGAATTAGTTATATTTATTGAATAAATAATTATATTTATATACGAGAGTAAGTCGAGTCATCTTACTCCCACCCCAGGCCAGGGCGCATGCGCACTACACTCGAAATTCGAAGTACCAGCGATGGGATATAGTTCCGGCCAGATTTGGGAATTCTCTAGGACCCAACCTCTCTGACGTGGGAAATCACTAGATCAAAAAAAAAATAGTACCGAAGGTGACGCGCGAGATTCAAATAAGGTCCAATAACACAAGCATCCATCACCTGATGACCCAGTGTGCTTACTGGCCACTCTGTTAAATAAATAATTATTAACAACACAAGCGCCTATCACCTGATGACCCAAGGCGCTTACTGGCTACTATTGAATAATAAATTATCAAGTAATTACAAGAGCGCCAATTAAAAAGATCTTTGTCGTACTAGATAGGCAATCAAAATTGTGATATGGTTAATATGTTATCGATCAACTTTTTATTATTTAATAGTGTTGCAAACAAGTGTCCTGGATCATCAGGAAAAAGGTGCTTAACATATTTCTGAATAATTATTTATTTACTAGATTTGGAATTAGCGCCTCAGGTTATACGGTGATAGGCGCTTGTGTTATTAATAATTATTTATTTAACAGAGTCCAGTAAGCACACTGGTTCATCAGGTGATGGATGCTTGTGTTATTGGACCTTATTTGAATCTCGCGCGTCACCTTCGGTACTATTTTTTTTTTGATCTAGTGATTTCCCACTTCAGAGAGGTTGGGTCCTAGAGAATTCCCAAATCTGGCCGGAACTATATCCCATCGCTGGTATTTCGAATTTCGAGTGTAGTGCGCATGCGCCCTGGCCTGGGGTGGGAGTAAGATGACTCGACTTACTCTCGTATATAAATATAATTATTTATTCAATAAATATAACTAATTCGACTATTTTGCGATCCTCACACGCACTGGAAATTAAATTGCAAACGACTGGTGATAATTTTAATAGTAGAAACTCTACCGTTGAGGCGAAATAATAGTTTTATTAGATTCTCGCAGGACGTACTACATTTTATTTTTTTTACAAAAAAATAATACTCTGACAATTTTTTGCATGGCAATTGCAAAACCTGCAAACGATTCCGCAATTTTTGGTATTTTTTTTTTTTTATTGGATGCAAGTCGTTCGCACAGTTCACTGTGCTCATTAAATAAACGTATAGTCAAGTTACATCCCCTACTAAGAATATTCAGGTGACTTTTCATGTTATTTTTCCAGTGACATGTTAGGTGAAAAGTCGTGCCAATTTACCATGTAGAAGTGTCATGTAGAATTTTCATGTGAAAGTGTCATGTGGATTTTTATAAGCTAGATTCTCGGCGATTCAAAAATGAAAAAGTAAAACTTGTACTTCTAACTGCTTAAAAGCTGTGAGAATAGCTAATATAAATAGTAAAAAAAAAGCATCCCTTAGCTCCAGTAAAGGAATTTGGACCTGGTCCGCATCATTGGTAGTCGAGTGTCTTTACCACTTGGCCAGAATGGATTAGACACTTGGGACAGAATTTACGTCCTTATCAAGTACATCTAAAACTAATGTTTATCTCATCATTAACATTTACCGCCCTAGTTACCTAATTGATAATTAATATTTTATAAATGTACATTTTACATTGTTTCGTGTCGCTTAATTTCTTCGTCAACAGTAAATCTAGTAATTTATTTTACAACTACGTTTTGTTCACAGATTTTACTTAAACTTTACATATACTTTCCATTCCAAGGGAAAATAGTCTATTTTTAAAAGAGCAATAAATTTGTTTTAATCGCTACAACAAAGTTGTGAATTACTTTGTCCTCTTTAATACTTTAATGTGCGTATCAAATACCAGCAGAAAAATTATTTTCACCTCATTTGTACAGTACTTGGATAAATTTTTGCAACATAAGTTTATAACATAAAATAAAGTTTTTTCGAAAACTACTAGATTTAAACAAAAATTTTAGAAATGATTTCTTAATTAGAATTGGAGATTGTAAAAAGCATTATCTTAAAGACATTTCTGCTTTTACTATTTATATTAGCTATTCTAACTTTTGTCCACAAATTTATAATGATACAAATGACACTTTTTTAAACAATGTCATTCTTATAGAAACACATAATGAATAGGCACAGTACTTTAATGAATAAAAAAGTTATGAATAATATTAAAGGTGACGTTTGTTAAAATTTATTACAGCATCGAATATGCAACCCATGAAGATGTCGATCAAACTGGTAATGATGTACATTTGAATTTTCTTTCAAAAGTTTTGAATAACATAAATAATGGCCTCCCACCACATTAACTAAATTTCAAAACTTTTGGAATACAACGTCAAAGCAAAAATTATTACAGATGAACATGTAGGAAATAAAGTATTTACTCGCGAATCACTTTAAATACGAGAAATTCTTTATCATTCCTTTTCATTCTCTATAAAAAATAATTTTTAGTTGTACTAGCCTTTGCAATGACAATAAATAAATCACAAGGACAAAGTTTCGATAAGGTTGGATTGTACCTTAAGATGGAGTTCTTTTCTCATAGTCAATTGTACGTTTTTCTTTCAATACGTAAAAATCCAAAAATAGTATGTATACAAAATGAATCAAACAGTAAATTCGAGATAAAAAATATTGTTTGTAGAGAAATACTTGATCGATAACTTTTTAAATAAAATTATATCTAGCTTTTTAAATTTTAACATAATTTTTCAATCTTCATACTAATCTTAAAACTATAGTATGATGATGTGATGGCTTGCACAATTTTATTGTAATTTTTTTAAAAAGCTAATGCGCCATGGTATAAAATCGCTACAAAATCAATGAAGTTAAATAAGACAATTATGCCAGGGGCGGCAATGGGCGAATGGTGACGGGAAGGGGTCTTAGTCTTAGCTGCCATTGAAATCCTTACAACTATATATAACATAGGAAATATATAAAATAGATTCAGGAGCTTATGCTCAATTAATTATTAAACAACGATTAGGTTGCAGGTAATTTTTTTTAATATCTCTGCATTTTTTGAAAATTTTTGTCAATACAAGCATGAAAATAGTAACGTCCCATAAGAGGCTATATAAATCACATGATTTTCATTTTTATAGTTCTTGTAAAAATGACCTGTGACAAATATTTAAAAAAATTCATACAAGTTTTAAGTATTGTAAACTATTATGAAAACTCAATATTATTGTGATCTCTGCGTTTCATTATTATTACTCCCGAATCTCCGTGAAAGACGTCAATTCTTTTTTGAGTGTGGGAACAACACATGCATAGGAAAGTACTTTGATAGATCATTCTAACTGACCTTAGAAAAAAATTAATTAATATGACCAACCTTGCTGGGCTCACAGTCACTAATAGAGTTTGACATTCTAACTGCAGGTTTGGGCAAGTCTTCAGCTATTTTTTCATCCTCAAGATCACGTTCAAGAAGTTTTATCCTGCCAAGCCAACCATTTAGCTCGGCATCAAGCTCATTCCTTTCATTTGATGGTAAACTAGCTCGACTTAGCACTGGCTGAGGTACCCTTAGTACTGCACTCTCTGGTTTCACTAATGCCAGACGGGCTTCCGCTGTACTTGTCAGGTGTGGAAACGAACCTTCTTCACCCGACCTGTTAATTTATTAATTGATATGGTTCTTATTTTTAGATTGAAAAAAGAAGATGGTAAACATACCTTAAAATTTGAACAATGCGTTCGAGGTCTTTGCCGTTTTTGCACACTCTAACGTAATCGTAAGACAGGTGGCCAATCGGTATGTCAAATTTTTTTAGAAGCGACTGTTTCGGGTTATTGGGAGAGCAAGTTGTTATCTCGTTGTCTTCGTCCTTCATCTTCTTAATGTATTTTTTGTTTTAAATGAAAAAAAGTAGATAAATACAGCAAAGTGTGAAGAGTTTTCTGATTTAAAAAATTAGAGACTTTGTTGTCAGTTTTAGAAGTATAATGATTTTCGTAAACTTCAATTTTATAATAAAACCTGCAAACGATTCCGCAATTTTTGGTATTTTTTTTTTTTTATTGGATGCAAGTCGTTCGCACAGTTCACTGTGCTCATTAAATAAACGTATAGTCAAGTTACATCCCCTACTAAGAATATTCAGGTGACTTTTCATGTTATTTTTCNTAAATAAGACAATTATGCCAGGGGCGGCAATGGGCGAATGGTGACGGGAAGGGGTCTTAGTCTTAGCTGCCATTGAAATCCTTACAACTATATATAACATAGGAAATATATAAAATAGATTCAGGAGCTTATGCTCAATTAATTATTAAACAACGATTAGGTTGCAGGTAATTTTTTTTAATATCTCTGCATTTTTTGAAAATTTTTGTCAATACAAGCATGAAAATAGTAACGTCCCATAAGAGGCTATATAAATCACATGATTTTCATTTTTATAGTTCTTGTAAAAATGACCTGTGACAAATATTTAAAAAAATTCATACAAGTTTTAAGTATTGTAAACTATTATGAAAACTCAATATTATTGTGATCTCTGCGTTTCATTATTATTACTCCCGAATCTCCGTGAAAGACGTCAATTCTTTTTTGAGTGTGGGAACAACACATGCATAGGAAAGTACTTTGATAGATCATTCTAACTGACCTTAGAAAAAAATTAATTAATATGACCAACCTTGCTGGGCTCACAGTCACTAATAGAGTTTGACATTCTAACTGCAGGTTTGGGCAAGTCTTCAGCTATTTTTTCATCCTCAAGATCACGTTCAAGAAGTTTTATCCTGCCAAGCCAACCATTTAGCTCGGCATCAAGCTCATTCCTTTCATTTGATGGTAAACTAGCTCGACTTAGCACTGGCTGAGGTACCCTTAGTACTGCACTCTCTGGTTTCACTAATGCCAGACGGGCTTCCGCTGTACTTGTCAGGTGTGGAAACGAACCTTCTTCACCCGACCTGTTAATTTATTAATTGATATGGTTCTTATTTTTAGATTGAAAAAAGAAGATGGTAAACATACCTTAAAATTTGAACAATGCGTTCGAGGTCTTTGCCGTTTTTGCACACTCTAACGTAATCGTAAGACAGGTGGCCAATCGGTATGTCAAATTTTTTTAGAAGCGACTGTTTCGGGTTATTGGGAGAGCAAGTTGTTATCTCGTTGTCTTCGTCCTTCATCTTCTTAATGTATTTTTTGTTTTAAATGAAAAAAAGTAGATAAATACAGCAAAGTGTGAAGAGTTTTCTGATTTAAAAAATTAGAGACTTTGTTGTCAGTTTTAGAAGTATAATGATTTTCGTAAACTTCAATTTTATAATATATACTGAAAGCACTTACGGAAATATTGTGCAGTCATCGCGACGCAAAATTATTGTGAAAAAAAAAAAAACGAACCTTCAACACATAGTTGTTCGGAAATATGAAAAACTACAGTCACGTAGATTAACGCGTTCACGGGAACTTAAAAATAAGTTAACCACCACCCTATTATTATCTGATTCAATAGCTCATGTATTATTATTAGTTAAAAATTAATGAAAGAAAATAGAATCCAACTTACATCTTGAAACAATCGTGCTTTGCCACGTAAATAACAAACACCACTTTAAAAAATTGGTAGGTACAAATGAACGTTTGTTGAGACTGTCATGGATACAGAATCATTATCGACCAATCACAGATGAACCACCAATTCATTTGTAGCCATTTTTAAATTTTGCGCCATCAAAATTTGTCATATTCGACTCAAGCGCCACTGTTTCTTATAATATCCGCAACAACTAAAATGTGGGGTTAACTTACAACGAATACGTTGTCAGTTGCAACTTCTGATTACTTAAATTACGTTAGTAAAAAAAAAAAAAAAAATTTTAATCTACTCGCATACAAATCACTCAATTTCTACGACGAAAAAGGGCGTATACAGTATATAGATTCATTCAAAAGGTTGAAAAACTGTCCAACTTTCAAGGGTAAGTTAAACAAATTCGTCTGATCTATATTGCGGCGCAATGGTACTCCACACATTTACCCTTAGTCGTTAAAAAAAAGTATTTAACATAGCTTATCTGACGTCTCATTGTATATCTTGTTATCATGAAGAATATTTAATGCTTATTTACACAGGAAGGACCCAAGTAAGACAAACATGCCAGAGCCAGTGAATCATCAAATAAACACAGCCAGAAAGACCTTCCAAGCACTTTATCGCATTTCCAAGCTGCTCAACACCAATTTAGATCCAGGGACTCTGAGCTACTGCGTCAGGCTGTGCGAGAATGGAGTCAATCCTCAGGCATTGGCTACTGTTGTGAAAGAGCTCCAAAGAGAAACTAAAGCTTTCAATAGTACCCAGAGTTATGCCAGTAAAAATATTAACTCTTAATAACAATAGCAATTATGATTGTGTCTATAAGACTGGTCACTGTTAAGTTGTTCTTGATGAACTTGCATTGATTGACTCAAAATGTATGTTAGCATCTAAAGTGTAAATTCAGCTAATAGGATTAAAAATGTTTTTATTTTAACCATACGATTTTTATTCGTTATTTTTATTTAAAAAATTGTATGAAGTTGTTTGTTCTCTTTTTTTTTCATGACAAAAGATACACAATAGGGGAAAAATTACAATTCAGTATGCTTTTTCTCATCCTTTTTGACTTTTTCCACTTTGCCAGTTGGATTCATTTTTTCAAGTTTTTTAACAGTAGACTGCAACACAATTTTCAGATTAAATATTTCAACAAGATTATACCTCTAGAGTTCATAATAAGCTTACCGCAGATGCATGCTGTCCAATGTAATTTTGGCCTTCTAGAGTTACATGTGAACACTCACGCTCTGTAATAAAAAAATTTTTGGCATCTACAGCTTGAGCTCCATCACTGAACTTAAATATTGCTCTTTTGGAATCTATAGGATACCTAAAAATCGAATGGGTTTTTGGGTAATTTAGGTAAAAGAAAATGGGCAAATAAATTATGGACACATCAGTTTCACAATACCAGGTGAACTTACCGTTCGGCAACTATGTGATTATTTTGTAGATTACTTTGCCAACGGCTTAATACAGACGCGGCTTCGAATTCAGAGAGCTCAGGATTAACATCTACAAACATCATTACACTCTTGCCCTTTTTTGATACTTTAAGAACGTTATCTGGATCTGTCATGTCCAACTTAAACATAAATTATTATTATTGCATCATGAATTTCATTTTTTTTTTCTTTTAAATTTTCATAACTTTCTCCAGCATACTTTAGAAAAATCAATTTTAGCTGGAGGACGTTTATACTCTGGGAGCTCATCAGGTTCTAAGGGGTCATCATCCTTCTGAAATTTGCAATTTTCTCTATAATTATTTTTTTACACAAATTTTTTTAATTTCAATGAAAATGAACTGGTTCTAAGTTCAGAAAAAAGCGGGACAAAATTGTACAATGGTAAAAATATGTAAAGCAATACTCTTATTGTAAGTCAATTAGTTGTGTGAACTCTCACATATGAAATTCATTTTAAACATTAATAGATACTTACACCAATATAAATAATGATTCTGAAATTCATTTAACAGTTAAGCTGTAGTTTTAACACAGAAATTACATCTGCATATTTTTTTTTTATGCAAACTTCTTTGCTAGGCTAATGTTAATAGTTAATTTTGACAAAATACTTGACAGCTTGATAACACATCTCGTGTATTAAGAAAATACTGGGACTTGGTTCATTTTTCTGCATCCTTTTAGTTTAACAATGTAAAATTAAAAAGAAATGAAGTAAAAACTAACAGTTATCATAACTATACAATACCTCCCACTCTTCGGAGAGCTTTTCTATGTCTGCATCCGTGTAGTCAAGAACGTTTCTTTTCTTGAGAGGTTGCTCCTGAAAAGCAGAGATTCCACACAAAAGCGATGACATATACAAAAATGTCCACATCAGTTTCATTTTTTTTTTTTCTCACGTTTCTAACTGACAGCTATGTGTACCTCTACTCTCTAATTTTTATCTTTCCACTGGCAAATTTAAGTACACATAAATAAACAATTTTTTGATGAAATAGTTTTACACAAAAACAAATGTTGAATTCTGCTGTTAGCAAGAAGCACTCACAAAACGTAATAAATAAAATATGGCATGATACGTCACACGCTGACACGCACGCAATTATTACTAAGATATACTTAATAGTTTTATTACTTTCATCGATATTTGAATGTAGCGGCGTATACGATTCTTCGTCAAAATACAGGGATGCGTACGATAATCTTCGTCGAAATACAGGAACGCGTACGATTTTCCGTCAGGTTCATTTTTTTTTTTTAAGGTCGATTTTCGAGTAGTAAATAAATTATAATCTTGCAGTAAATGGCAACTGTGGGACATCTGTCTCTCTTTCTCTCTCAAGTTGCCGACAGTGGGGACTGTAGGGAGGTTGCATCGGCTGGCCTTAGTTTACTGCCTCCACTGTTGGCAACGTGCGAGAGAGAGAGAGAGACAGATACCCACGTTCGATGTTGTGTCTCTTTCTACTTGTGCTTCAGCGCTGTACATAAGAACGAGCAGTTTATTTCTTCACCACTGCCCAAGATCCAAAAACTGAGTTCTTAGATCTTTTCAGTTCTCAGCTATCCACTCACACACCTTTCTTTACAGACGGCTCCAAAACAGACCAGTACACTTACACTGGTCTTGCTTTCTATTGCCCACCTCCCAATGGCCACACTTTCAAAGGTCGCATCTCCCCCCATGCATCCATCTTCACCGCAGAAGCCCTAGCTATCTACCTCACCCTAGAATATATAATAGAAAACGACATAAGCCACTCAATTATCTTCTCAGACTCACGTAGCTCTTTAGAATCCATAGCTGATACCTCTCCCCTCAATGTAACACATCATGTAACGATCCACAGAATCAAGAAAGCTCTCCTGGAGCTTAACTTGGCCAATAAATCTGTAATCCTCGCCTGGATCCCTAGTCATAAGGGAATCCCAGGGAACGAAATAGTAGACCAACTCCCAAAGGACGCAATATCCAGCGGTACACATATCAATTACCCCCTTCCCTACTCTGACATCCAAGCCCTTTTCAACTCTGAAATATCCCTCAAATTCGCACAACTCATAGAAGAAGACACTTCCGGCAAAGGCCTCTTCTACATCAATACATGCTTCAAAACCTCCTCTAAACCCTGGTTCCATTCCCTCCCACTCACAAGAGACCAAGTCACTTCCTTTAGCAGAATGCGCTCCAATCATTACAACCTCGCATTCAGCCTTCATCGCAAAAACCTAATCGCCAACCCCTTATGTCAATGCGGAAATGACGTAGAAGACCTCAACCATGTATTCTGGTCATGCGAACGTTTCAACGTGCAGCGAAGCACCCTTCTGAAATCCCTCTCCAAATTCAAACTCTTCCCCCTCCTCCCCCTCAGTCAAACTCATAAAAATCCTACATAACTTCTTACGTGATTGCGAATTTTTTCTCTAATTCTCTACAAACATTCTCACCTACTAGAAATCATCACCATCCTATCGTATTACTCTTAACTGCCCTATAATTCTTCACGTTTAAACTTCTACCCCCCCCCCTCCTCCAATGTATTTACTCATTTGAGATGCCCGGTGCACTCCGGGCGGCCCGGGTACCGCTGGGGCGCGTATCTGCACTTGCGGCCAAAGCTGTAGGTGCGGTTGTGCGTCCCGGCGGCCCGGGGTTGCTCGGGATGCTCTGGACTCCCTAATCGAACATACCTAATACTTCAAAATTCTTTCATCATGCCGCACCTCACCGAGCAAGCAGACGATAATAAGTTTTGTTAATGGCCGTTCGGACTGCGCTACTAACACAAAAGTAGCCTCACTGGAGCCACAAACCCCCCCAAGAAGAAGTTTATTTCTTGTATGTCTATGCATATATCGTGATTAAGTGTGCGAAGTGAACAGTGCAAACGTAAACGTCATTATAAGTACCTAACTACCTATAATTAGCGTCGTTAATATGAAACAGTAATGTGATATTACTTTAAACATTCTAATCTCACATCAACGCAATTACGTAGTTTTGCAGCCTTTAAACGCAGCGTAATTCTTTTTCCATAACATTTTTTAGTTTATCGTAGATATTCATTTACAATATTTTTTTTATATTCTCAAGCTTGAAAGCTTTTTTCGAGAAAGATCGCTATCTACAAGCAATTGATATAGTATTAGCCAATTCGAGGACAAAATGTTCACATCTGTAGTGAATATTAATCAAGTACCAACTGAGATAATTGCCTATAACTGCTGGATAGAAGAAGTAGGACTGGATATAAATGGCAAAAAAGACATAGTCATTTTAATAACAGGCAATCCTGGTGTTCCGGCTTTTTACAAAGAATTTGCATCACAACTTCAATCAATGCTACCTACAGATGTGCCAATCTGGATTATTGGGCACACAGGTCATGCTATTAATCCAGAGGACAATGTTAACCACTCTTATCCTGATTTAAAAACTCACTCACACTTGTATAACTTAAATGGAAATTTGGAGCACAAAGTGAGTTTCAATGTTGTGTTACATATATTTTCAAACTTTTATTGAATACAACCACTACATATGATTTCAGGTACAATTTGTAAGAAAATATTCACCTGCAGATGCTAGGATTCACCTAATAGGACATTCCATTGGTGCATGGTTTGTTTTGAATTTATTGAAGAACAATGACATTGAAAAAAAAGTATCCAAGTGTTACCTACTGTTTCCTACTCTTGAGAGACTAGCAGAAACTGTTAATGGAAAATTTTTAATTAACTTTGTAAGTCATTAACATCTTATGAAAGAATATAATTCTTATCAGTATGATAAATAATACAATTGCAAATAAAAAATTTCAGGCTTTAAGGATATCATTTATACTTGTATTCTTATCATGGATATTTACTCTATTTCCTTATTTTTTACAAGCATCCTTAATCAGGATATTTGGATTTTTCTATGGAATACCATCAAAGCTGGATGATGCTATCTTACAATTAGTAAGTCCCTTGCCTGTACAAAGTGCCTTTTTCTTAGGAGAAAATGAAATGCATCAAATAAAAAATAGGAATGATTCCACAATATCTCAACACAAAAACAAGCTTTATCTGTATTATGGCATGATGGATGGCTGGGTACCAATTCGATATTACGAAGACTTGAAAAAAAGATTTCCCGATATAGATGCTCATCTGTGTAAAAGAAGCTTTCGTCATGCATTTGTTTTGCAGGATTCTGTCGAAATGGGACAAATGATTGGAGATATGATCAATAAGTCCATCGACTCAACCTGATTATTCCTCACATTTAAAATTTTATTTGAATGCAATATAAATGCATTTTTTATGTACAGAATGCATATTTTGGAAACTATTAATGCCTTGAGAAGACTGGAATATTTAATTTCAAAGGTCCTTATACTCAGCAATACAGACTTTACGAAGAGAAAAATGCTCAAAGTTGTGATCAAATGATTTTTTAGTATTAAAGTTTACTGCTACATGCTACCAGAATCACATTAAATTTTTTTGTATAATTGAATCATTACTTAATCAGTATTATATGAGAACATTGTTATCACAAAAATTTATGAATTTATTATTACCATTTGCAAAAAACTGTGAGTCCGCTGAACACAAAACACTTTTTTGCCTGGGGGCCCAACGTAATTAGCTGGGAGCAAAGTGTGCTCATGGGCACACAGTACGACTTCCCGCTCTCTTCAGGCGCTTAACTAACTCTCTAAACTCTTCTACACGTAAAGTTACATAACTATAATACAAACTGACAATTTAACGAAATCTATGTAAGTTGATCAATCACAGCAAAAACTTTTTGTCTCAGTTTTTAGCGTTTTTTAGTCAGCAGCAAGTCTCTTCTTATCAGTAAATATTATAAACATTATTTTTTCTAAAGTACATGATATGTTTGAATCGTTCTTCATTGTTGAAATATGGCCCAAAAAGCATAAAGCATTTTGGCAGTGTATGGGGGCCACCAACCGTGGGCCGTGTACGGTACACGGTGCACGTTACACGGCTACCCTGCTAGGGAAATTTCTGAAGGACGGTACACGGTACACGGTACACGGGGATTTCTGCTAGGGGGCTTGCTTGACGACCGTGCGCCGTGCGCCGTGCATGGTTCACGGCACACGGTGCTCTGATAGGGGAAATTATTGATCACCGTGGACTGTAAACGGAAGACGGTCAACGGTAAACGGGTTGATGAATCCGTTCACGGTAGGTACAAAGGGGTTTATTGACACGAGCACTAGGTCTAGGACTGGAGCAGTGCTCAGCACATTGTGCTCACCGCTGAACACACGTATATGGGTACGTTTTGTTTGTAGTCGGACTCACACATATCCACGCTTGCATATTAGGTACAATCGTGTACAGTATTGCGCTCTGGAATAACTGGAATGGAGGAATGAACGTGCGATGCGCCCATAGCAAAATAGTACAGCAGTTATCCAAGTCCATGTATGGATATAATAATGAGCGTCATCAACCTCAGCATACAATCAGTTTTATCAGTTTTTTATAGACATGTTTTTTTTTTCAAATCTTATAAGTTTCATTAATAATGATTGATTGATTTCATTTAATATAATGGCTTTAAATAAAATATGTATTTACTTACATTTTTTTTCAATAGTTTATTTGTAAATAGTTTACGGCTTGTGTGCAATGTGCATGGTATACAGGGACATTCTAGTTACTAGGTAAATCCAAAATAAAAATAAATCTCTTAAGTCCACACAACCCTGGAACTTTTATTTTTTTTTTATTACTGATTGATTGATTTCATTCAATATAATGGCTTTAAATAAAATAAATATTTACTTACATTTTTTCTCAATAGTTTATTTGTAAATATTTACGGCTTGTGTGCAATGTGCATGGTATACAGGGACATTCTAGTTACTAGGTAAATCCAAAATAAAAATAAATCTCTTAAGTCCACACAACCCTGGAACTTTTATTTTTTTTTATAAATGATAAAACATACACTTCTGAATCTGTGGAAAGCTAAAGCATAATTAATAACAAGATAAAAAAGTTTATTAAAAAAAGACCTGTACATACATGTATGATAAAATGTTAAGTATTTTTTTGCATTTACAAGTGACTTTGATAATGAAATTTAGACTGTTAAGTTAAGTATCCCTGGTAGCACAATCTTACGCACTGGCAGTACGTAAGTCTGCACCTGGTCTGCTTCCGGGATCTTGTGTAATTCTGATGCATGACAAGTGCATAAGACACTTTGCGGCAGATTTGCGCAAGATTTGCGTGCAGGCGAGTGCGCAAGACTCTTGCGTAAGAAGTGCATAAATCTGACCATCAGTCGAGTGCGTTATTCGTCTTGACTCGACGCACTCCTGATTTCGGCAGATTTGCGCAAGATTTGCGGGCACGTAAGTG